TTTTAATAACTTTTTTGACTGCCGCTGTCCACTGAATGGACGTCTTCAGAGAACTATCCATGATGACTCCAAGATCTGTTTCTTGATTAGTTGTAGCTAAATTAGCCCCCTTCATATTATATGTATAGTTGGTTATTTTTTTCCAATGTTCATTACTTTACATTTATCCATATTAAATTTCATTTTCATTTTGTTGCCCAGTCACTTAGTTTGGTGACATCTTTTTGAAGTTCTTCACAGTCATCTTTGGTCTTAACTACCTTGAGCAGTGTAGTCTCGTCTGCAAACTTTGCCACCTCACTGTTTACCCCTTTCATAGTCCATGAAAGTTGTTCTTTAATTTTCTGTCTTCTGTGTGATTGTGCCATTTGTGTTGCTGTTAATGTGCAGCAGGAAGATATTATGTAATGAAATAACTATATACTTTGTCTATTTAAAAGTGAACAGCAACACAACCTGTCACCAAAGCCTGTTCATAATATCAATATTTATGTAGGTTCAGGCTGCTGGCTAGAAGGGCAGTACACCCACATCCACTTTTAGGAAGTAAGGAAAAACTTAATCTGAACCAGTCCCCTGGGGAAAACAAAAGGCAGACAGCTGATGAAGAATATGAAACACTGGATGGGTATGTGAAAAATGAGATAAAAGCAGGAAGGAACTGGGCAACAATCTATAGTGTTGGTCCTAAATTTAACAGTTTTGAGTTAATCTAAACTAATTTTTAATTCCCATCATGTGGTTCAGAGATTAAGGATCACAACTCACAATTTCAATGCTATGCTCATTTAGTAAATTATTTTTTGGAACTCCAGATAGTAATCTTAAAAGCAGGTTTTTGCTTATTCTTAACCAATTAGTATTTATTTATTCATTCATTCACTGCAGACAATAGTGGTTTTCAGTATGTTAAGTGTTAATCAAATGAGCACATAAGCTAGGTGTCTTAACAGTATAACCTGAAAAGGAAGAAGGAAATTACTGTGGTTTGACTTAAAATTATTAGTACAAAATGCAAATGAAAAAATATCCTGTAATCTATCAGCAAGTAATATGTTTCCGATGAGGTAATTTATAAGAAATAAGGAGTTGGTCAAATTAGTCGAAACAATAGTAAAGAATAAAATTGTGCAGCATGTAGAAGAACATAATTTGTTGGACAAAAGTCAACATGGTTTCTGTAAAGGGAAATCCTGTCTTACTAATCTATTAGAGTTCTTTGAAGGGGTTAACAAACATGAGGACAAGGGGGATCCAGTAGATATAGTATACTTGGATTTTCAGAAAGCCTTTGACAAGGTCCCTCACCAAAGGCTCTTGTGTAAATTACATGGCCAGGGGATAAGAGGGAAGGTGCTTTCTTGGATTGAGAACTGGTTAAAAGACAGGAAACAAAGGGTAGGAATAAATGGTAAATTTTCAGATTGGAGAGGGGTAACTAGTGGTGTACCCCAAGGGTCAGTCCTGGGACCAATCCTTTTCAACTTATTCATAAATGATCTGGAGAAAGGGGTAAGCAGTGAGGTAGTAAAGTTTGCAGATGATACCAAACTGTTTAGGATAGTCAAGACAGAAGCAGACTGTGAGGGACTCCAAGAAGATCTCACCAAACTGAGTGATTGGGCAACAAAATGGCAAATGAAATTTAATGTGGATAAATGCAAAGTAATGCACATCGGGAAAAATAACCCCAACTATACGTACAGTATGATGGGGGCTAATTTGGCTACAACAAATCAGAAAAGGGATCTTGGAGTTATCGTGGACA